TGCACGTGGCCTGCGAACTGGTGCGACCCGAGTGCTTGCTCCTGCTGCTCGGGCACGGCGCGTCGCCCTGCTTGCAGGACAGCGCCGGGAATACCCCCCTCGACACCTTGCTGCAGCAGATTTCCCACACGCCGGCAGCTAACATGCGTGCCAAGCTCCTCTGCCTCGACTGCCTCTTCTTCTTCGTGCCTCAGGACGTCCAGTTCGCGATGAAACAGCAACTGTTGGACAACCGGCAGCGGTGGCAGGACCTCCTGGGGGAGAACAGGTTCCAGTGCCTGCTGGGCTTGGCACCCCCATCGCTGTTTGTCGGAGCCATGCGTGTCTTGATCAGGACCATTTCACCCGAGCATTTCCCGGAGGCACTGGACAATCTGCCTCTGCCTCATTTTCTAAAGCCTTTGGACTTGAAACTGGAGAGCTAGAGGGGTGGTACGAGAGCCTCCCGCTCACCTGACAGAAATAGACTTGTGCTAAAAATGTATCAGTACATGAAGCCGCTAATGTGGCGGCCAAGTATCTGTTTTAATTAGAACTGTATTTTTTAAAAGAACTGTATCTGGCACTTTACAGTATCTTTTATTTAAAGATCCTTGCAGTGAGGTGAGGTCCGCACTGCATTTTATAAAAAGATTCTATGGCATGTACAAATGAGGGTATGTGGGAGAACGTATTTGTAAATACATCTGAATAAACCAGTGGCAGATGTGATCAAAATACAAATTGAGCGCCTGAAAACCCTGAAGCGGCATGTGCCTTGGAAAAGCGTGTGCGGGGTGGGGGAGTATCTTCTCGTTCGGATTTCCCTGTTGCATAAGTGTTGCGGTCCTGGAACAGGATGACTCCTTTTTTACCGCTCTCCTAATACATCTTGGCAGGGATGTGGATTTTTTTTTTTTTAAAGGCACAGATGAAAACTTCCTCATCTTGTACACAAGACCAGAGAAGCCAGATACTATTCAAACTTCTCTGAACAAGGCTGACAGGGATGCGCAGCTGAACAAAATATATTTTCAAATATGCACAAATAACAGTTGGTTTCCTTGCAAAGCGCTTGTTGCCCTCGGAGGGCCCGGGTGCCTGCTGCCAGGCAGAGGAGAGCAGGAGTACGTGTGCTGCTCTGGCAGGATCGGGCCCTGCAGCCGCGCGGGGTGGCTGCTGCAGGGCTGAGGTGGTGCGAGGAGGGTAGCACGGAGCGGGCGGGCTGGCCTCCCTGTGCCTGCCCTCTGCTATGCCCAGAGGATTGATGTAGGTATGGCAATGGCCCAGGATCCCAGAGCAGCTTTTTTTTTTGATGGATTTTGGCCCCTCTGCTGCCAGTCCCCAGCAGGATGTGATGGCTTAGGTTCGGCTGAGAGAGCTATGCCAGTCTCAGTGTCCAGAGGAGTAGCTTAGATATCCAGCCTTCCCCCAACTATCCCTTCCGAGATGCTCCAAGGTACGCAAAACATCTTCACAGCTGCTGCAGATCGAAAAGCTCTTTAGGGGTAACATCCTGCCTCCATCCAACACTCGTGTTTAGACGCATCAAAGTCCCAAGCAAAGGGTACAGCTTCAGTTCTTTGCTCTGCAACCTTTACTCTACAGCGTTCCGGGCAGTCACGCTGCTTGGTTCCCTGTAAAACTAGCGCTGCCCCTGCCTGCTCTGCAGGGAGCGAGCTGCGCCGGCTCCACCAGCATTGCAGTGATAGAAATCTCCTAGGCCACAGCGCTGTAGCTTTGCCTCTGTTGCTGGAAGTTGCCAGTGAAACTGTAGGGTTTTGTTTCCGTGCTTAAATGTGTAGCCAGGGAGTTGTTTGCCACTTGAACTATTTCAGCACTGTTGTTCCCTTTGGGGTCATCAAGGAACTGATGTGCTCAGAGAGAAGAGGCTCTGTTCAAGGCACAAATTTCTTTATTCGTGAATTAATTTTGGTTGGGGAAAAAAAAAAAACACAGAATGAGGCACTATACGCTGTTCATGCTTCAGCAGAACAGAGTGGTATTTCATCTAAAATAATCTCCATACTGCACACACAATAAAAGATAAGCCATACTTCTGAAATTTGAGATGCAACAGAAAGAAGATTGCTATTCTTAGACTGATGGCACTGAAAATGTTTCCTAGAAGAGCAAATGTTCCTTTTTCGCAAGAAACCAAGCTTATCGGTGCTCAAACTAATTACCATGGGAAATTTAGGTCCCTTGCTAGAAAGCATAGAACAACTCTTAACTGTTCTCTTCAGCTACCTTGTTGATAATAAAAACACAGAAATCCAAAGAACCAATCCCTTGCTTAGCTGCTTAATAATAATTTAAAAAAATTAAAATTCTGTTATCTATGTTGCTAAATTCTTTATTTGAGTACATTTTCCCCATTGTTTCTGTAATAATGGTGTGGACCCATCTTCCAAAACAGATGAGAAGTAAAGCAGTCAGGTCTAACTTGCACATGGAAAAGTGTCTTGAGGTGGGGGAAGAGACAGAGCTGGGGGTGGGAGGAAAGGCTTATCAGCCTTGCTGACAAAGACATAATGAGATTCAGCAGCAGGGAGTTGGTCAGTCGAACTGAGCACTGGAAGATGCTCCAGCTCCCAAGCTGTGAGGGTAATTACACATTGGAACAACATGACAGGCTGAGCAGGAGGACATCCTATACCTTAACAAGCCCGTTAACCAAACAAGAATTCAAGGCCAAAGCTGCCCTTGTGATTCCCTACAGGGAGGGGATTCCCTCCCACCAGCTCTCCGGTAATTCACTGGAGCAAACAGAAAGGGTCCCCTCAATACGTTGTGATGGGTCCAAAGTCAGCTAACTGCTGTGCCCCTCCTGTTATTCTAGGACAGAAGTCAAGCCTATTGCCCAGCCCATGCTGGGATCGCTCTTCTGAAGGTCACTGGCGGGCCTCGCTACGCGTGGCTCGTTGATGTGTCTGAGATGCTTAATCTGGAGAGGCTGAGAGGAACCGTGGGCAAACTACACCAGTGACTACACAGATCACTCACCCAACTGGATCCAGGCTTGTTTTTCAAACAGAGCCACAGCTTGGCAAGGTGTGGCTGGGGCTTCCCGGCTTTGGAAACAGAAGTCCTTTGTTTATAGACCAAGCAATAGTGGCATCAGCTTTCCTCAGACTGACTTGCCAGCGTGTCTCTGTCCTTTGCCACCTTTGGAGCACAGTGGAGTGCAGGCTCCACAGCCCATTCGGTTCTCCGTCTCTTGGCGAAGGCTGACAGCAAAAATGCCAATTAGTGCCAGTTGCAACACCATTGACAAGCTTAATAAAGCAAACATGGACAGCCATTATGTCTCTGCCGAAGAGGACTACCAGTGCTAGAGTCAGGGAGCTGGCCACAAAGGTGTGGGAAAGAAGATTCACCAAGTCCTAACACATGAGAGCACCAGGGTAAGGATATATACTTAAAGGCTTCTGTCTTACCTGCACAGGTTAATCTAGTCACAGGAGGCGAATTACTCATCTGTACAAAATGCTTTCAAAAGCATATAATGCAGTATATAGAGCCAGCATTCCTGAAATGCTTAGTTCCTCTAAAAGGCTACTTTCTATCATGAAACAGTGATGAAATATAATAAATATTTCCCATGTATTGCTCAAGCACTTTCAAAACAAAACATTCATATACTACCCACCTTTTAGTAGAGTGGGTTTATTTGCTGTGACAGGTAAAGAAGGCCTGAAACACTTTCATTCGGAAAGAAAGTGGAGAGAATAAGTACTGGGTTACTTTTATTTTTTACTCTTTGCAATTGACTCCTCTCTGCAGCTCCCTTAAATATTTCAGGACTTACAAAGTTTAGCCTGTCTCGAGTCTGCTGAAGGAGATGAAGTCTATTGTAATTTTGAGTAACTCATTTAAAAGATGGATTTGGGATCTTTAACAGTCTTTTTTTACCCGAAATATGGAGTAGTTAAAGAATTTAAATTGACATGAACACCAAACTAGGTGGTTTAAATAGTCTTAAAAATCCCTTACTGTAACATTTGTCTCACTCTTGCTCTCTGATGTACTGTCCTGCCATAAAAGCTGCGTCCTTGTTCTTACCATGGTCGCAGCCTGGTATGAGCATTGCCAGGGGTGGGCACCTTAAATTTAGCAGAAGATGCAGGTATTAAGTACACCTGAAAACCACTCCCTTCATAAATATGTATAGATATGGAATATCAAGCCTAACATCAGTTTGACACTCAGCAGCACCGCACAAAGAATATCTGCTGCAAATAGGTAAAGGCTTCATACAGCTTGAGAGGGCGAGGAAGAGGGCTGTTAATGAACAGCCTCCTTCACGTGGACAAGTCTTGCAAACTAAACCAAACAGGCAGGCATTAAGTTAAGGAGAAAAGGAAGCAGGAAACACCGAGAGCAAGACCTGCCGGGAGAGGAGGCCTTGGCTATAGGTACGGCTGCACTTACAGGCCGGTTTGAAAATGAAGTTGAAAATAGCAAGGACAAAGATCCGGCACAGAGGCATGGAAAGACAGAGACTAGAAATGGGCCAGGGTGCCAGGTTCATCTCTTATGCCCTACTTGTCCTATGTCTGGTGTTCAAGTCGTATGGGTTTTTGACTTGCAATATAACAAATCTATTGACATCAGCAGATCATTGTGCATTGCATCACCTCATCTTCAGATCAATGTTCCCAACTAGACAAACAAAGCACCCATGCCATGTGCTTAATATTTAAACTGCACTGTAAATCCTTGCAAACCAACTTTTGTAACACCTGTGTTAATAACAGTACTTCCATCGCTGGTTGGTGTCAGCAGCTGGCTGAGGTGAGATCACCATTAATTCCCAGCCTGGCTTCGGTGGTCTCTCCTCCACCTACGATGTGTGAAAAAGAAACTCTGCCTATTATTTGCTCGGACCACATCAAACTGTCCTCTATTACCACACACAAGAACCACATCTACGGTTTGCGAGGCTGCTGCTTGCACTGATTTGCTCCAGCTCTTTCCTCCAAGCAGGTACACATGCATGTGTAGCACAAGAACAGAAGGAGCAGAACTCTCTTGCAAAGCATAACTCATCAGTCATAGCAGAAAACAGAAATACAGTTTGCAAAAACATCAGACATCCCTCACTGCTGCTAAAAGAAATGGATCTAAGTTCAGCTGGGATAAAAAGGTTCCCCCTATTTGCCCTGATGACCTCTGAAAGGAACGGTATCTGTTTGCCCAGTGGTTTAGTTGATAAATGGAAAGACCACATAAATCAACAAAGCAAATATTTAGAAGCCTCAAACAATGAGAAACTCATCACGTTTAGGAATTATTGCTGAAGTCAAAAGAGTCTAGTCATCTAGTTTAAATTGTGTATGGCACAGGTCAGCAATTCCCATGTTGGAACTATCACATCTGACTGATTTGCAGCATCTGCTTTAAGTCCATCCTGATGTTATAAACAGTGGAGCATCCCAGGCTC